ACCATGTGGTATCCCCTTGCTCTGTCTGAACAACAGTCCTTGGTCTATATACAGGTTCCTCATGAGTACAATTAAGTGTTCTGAAATTTCCATTCTTCTCAGTGTTATCCATAATTTGTTATGATCCACAGGTAGGTTGGGGTGGGAATGGCCACATCTCCATTCACTGTATATATGTGTCTATATAGATAGATAGAGATATATTGATATACACATACATGCATACATATATATACATGCATAGATATATATACATATATATATGCATATATAATAAAATATATACAATGTCACACAAGTTGTGGGATGACATCAAGGACATCATATGAAGAAAACAAAAGGTCTTTAAAAAGACAGGAAAGAAAGAAAAGCCCAAAATGGATATCAGAAGAGACTCTAAAACTTGCTTTTGATTGTAAAGTAGCTAAATTGAATGGAAGAAATGATTAAGTAAAAGAGCTGAACAGATTTCAAACGGGGCTCAAGAAGATAAAGTATTATGATGAACTATATATGAGAGAATCTCTTCCAGTCAGTTGGCCAGGTAGCTATCTTCCAAATTTCTTGGCACAGATGAGTACTTCCAGCATTTCATCTATTTGTTGAAACATCTCACTTGGTATTCTGTCAATTCCTAAAGGCTTGTTTTTCACCAATTTCTTCAGTGAAGCTTGGACTTCTTCCTTCAATATCATCAATTTGTGATCATATCTCCTGAAACAGCTGAAGGTCACCCAACTCTTTTTGGTACAGTTACTCTGGGTATTCCTTCCATCTTCTTTTGATGCTTCCTGTGTCATTCAATTTTTTGCCCATAGAATCCTTCAATATTGCAACTTGAGGCTTGAATATTTTCTTCAGTTCTTTCATTTGAGAAGTGCCAAGTGTGTTCTTCCCTTTTGGTTTTCTAACTCCAGGACTCTACACATTTCATCATAATACTTTATCTTCTTGAGCCCCATTTGAAATCTGTTCAGCTGTTTTACTTAATCATTTCTTCCATTCAATTTAGCTACTTTACAATCAAAAGCAAGTTTCAGAGTCTCTTCTGATATCCATTTTGGGCTTTTCTTTCTTTCCTGTCTTTTTAATGACCTTCTGTTTCCTTCATGTATGATGTCCTTGATGTCATCGCACAACTCCTGTGACATTGCATATATTTTATTTCATTATTATGGACTTGTTTTCATGTTTTTCAGCTTCAGGTTGAATATTCACATGAGTAATTAATGGTCCATTTTACAATCAGCCTCTGGCCTTGTTCTGACTGATGATATTGAGCTTCTCCAATGTCTCTCTCCATAGATGGAGTCAATTTGATACCTGTGTATTCCTTCTGGTGAGGTCCACATACACAGTTTTCATTTATGTTGTTGAAATAAAAGTATTTGCAATGAATAAGCTGTAGGTTTTGCAAAATTCAACCATGCAGTCTCTAGTACTGTTTCTACCACCAAAGCTGTATTTTCCAACTACCAATCCTTCTCCTTTGTTTCCAACTTTCGCATTGTCAATCACCAGTAACTATTAATGCAACTTGATTGTGTGTTGAACAATTTCAGACTGCAGAAACTGGCAAAAATCCTCAATTTCTTTTTCTTTGACATTAGTGGCTGATGTGCAAATTTGAATAACAGTTGTATTTACTAGTCTTTTTAGACATATGGATATTATCTTAACACTGACAGTGTTGTACTTCAGGATACATCTTGAAATGTTCTTTTTAACAATGTATGTGATGCCACTCCTTTTTAATTTGTTATTTCCAGCATAGTAGACAATATGATTGTCTGATTCAAACTGGTGAATACCATTCCATTTCAGCTCATTAATGCCTAGATATCCTATCATGTGTTCTATTTCATTTTTGACTACTTCCAGTTTTCCTAGATTCATACTTCATACGTTCCATGTTCCAATTACTAATGGGTGTTTGCAGCCGTTTCTTCTCATTTTGAGTTGTGCCACATAAACAAATGAATATCCTGAAAGCTTTACTTATTCTCATCATTAGGGTCGACTCTACTTTGAGGAAGCAGCTCTTCCCCGGTTGCATTTTGAGTGCCTTCTAAGCTGAGGGGTTCATCTAACAGCACTGTATCAGAAAATGTTCACTACCATCCATAAGATTTTCACTGGACAAGATTTTTAAGAAATAGATCTCCAGGTCCTTTTCCTAGTCTGTCTCAGTCTGAACACTCTACTGAAACCAGTCCACCACGAGTGACCCTGCTGGTATTTGAAGTATCAGTGGCATAGCTTCCAGCATAATAGCATCATGCAGACTTCCACAGTATGACAGACTAGCAGTGGCCAATACAGTATACTATTTACTTTATATGCCTAGCAACTTGTACTATTAACAGTAGTAACAACAACATTAATGTCTCAATAACAGCAGAACAAACAAATGAAAAAAAACCCTACTGTTTGGTTACTGAGCTCATATTATTTAGATAGGTTATATGAATTGAAGAGTCCTGGTGGTGGGATGGTTAAGCACTGGACTTCTAACCGAATGTTTGGTGGTTCAAACTCATCAGCTGCTCTGCTAGGAAAAGATATGGCAGTCTTCTCCCAAAAAGAGTGAAGCCCTGGAAACACTATGTGGCAATTTTACTCGGTCCCATAGGGTCCCTACAGGGTCACTATGAGTTGAAATCTACTCAACAGAAATGTGAGAAGTTAGGAGTTTATATGAATTTCCTTATTTAATCCACATTATATCCACATGAGCTAATACTCTTTATCTTAATTGTATAGGTGAGGAAAGTGAAGCTCAGAAGAGTTGTTTGGTAAATAGTAGGGGCAGAATATAAACTCAAATCTATCATATCCAAATACCTGCTTCTAACCATTTTGTTCCACTGCTTTATTATAATGAGAGAGTGAGTTCATGGTTGATAAAGATCTTACAGTGGCAACTGATACTCTTTGGAATCCAACAGATCTGGGTTTGAATCTCATTTCAAGCAGACAACCTATATGATCCTAGCATTAAAGCTCCTCTGTGAAACAGTGTTAACAAAGTTAACACTTTTAAGTTAATTTGAGCTCTAGGTCAAATCCATCCTTTACAGCTGAATTAAATCTCAGACAGGATTGGAAAAATGGTGTATATTGCACAGAAGAAAGTTATGCATACCTGAACTGCTGCTATTATTGACATATGATTTTAAATTGAAAAAAATAAGACATATCGTTCTTAAAACCATAAATAACCACTTTGTTGTTGGGTGTTGTCCAGTCAATCCTAACCCATAGTGACTCCATGTGACAGAGTAGAACTTCCCCATAGGGTTTTCTTGGATGTAATCTTTATGGGAGCAGATCTCCAGTTCTTTCTCCTATGAAACCACTGAGGTGAGGGTTTGAACTGCCAACTTTTAGTAGCCAAGCACTTAACCGTTCATGCCACCAGGGCTCCTTTAAATAATTACTCAAACAAAACACCAAACTCACTGTTATTGAGTTGATTCTGACTCCTACCGACCTCCATTGGGTTTCCAAGGCTGTAAATCTTTACATAAGCAGACTCCCTACTCTTTCTTCTGAGGAGCAGCTGGTAGGTTCGAAACACCAACTTTCTAGTTAGCAGCGAAATGTCTTAACCATACACTACCAGAGCCCCTTAAATAACCACTCAAACCAAAAACCAAACTCACTGCCATGGAGTCAGATCTGACTCATAGCACCCCTCCTTGGGTTTCTGAGGCAGTATCACTATGGAAGTAGATTGCCCAACCTTCCTTCTGAGGAGTGGCTGGTGGGTTTGAACCGCCAGCCTTCTGGTTAGCAGTCAAATGCCTTAGGCACTACGCCACCAGAGCTCCCCTTAAAAAGCCACTAAGATTCATCAAATATTACTCATTGACTCTGGAATTCTACATCTGGTCATTTAACCTTAGGGAATAGAGAAATACTACATGCATGAAAATGTTTATTGCAGTTTTAAAAAATAGTCATGAGAAATTAAAAAATGAAATATTCTACAATAGGAAATTATTAGGTAATTTGGGGGGATACCCACACAAAGGAATATTATACATCCACATGGTGACTCTGAAGACTATGCAGTTATAGAAAAATGACTTATGAAAAATATGAAGTGAAACCAGAAGGATACAAAATCATTTCTGTGCCACAGTGATCACCAACTATGTTCTCAAAACAAGAAATTAAGAGGCATGTGAAAAGAGACTGGAAACATCTCGGTGGCTGGAAAAAGTAATGGATGCATTTTTTTCTCTTTATTTTTCACATTTTACGTAAGGTTACCACGGTTATTTAATAATTAAGAGATACAACAATAGATTGCAGTAATGTATTTGATAGCAAATGTACTGGTATTGAATATATTTGATAATGACAGACACTAGAGAAGTAAAAAGCAAACAGATGGGTGAAAGGCCCAAAGGAAGATTCAGCATCACTATGAATTTTACTCCCTTAATTCATCTACTTAAATGATAAACCTGTGAAACCTCGTGTCCAGACTAAATCTTGCTTCCGAGCAGTTCCAGAAAGAAGCATGATGGCTCCCTGAAACTGAGCAATAAACCCATTTTTACCCGGGACATTTTACTGCCTTGAACACCTGACATTTTCTATGTTGGGGCCATTCCCAGAGCTGGGTGGATTGTAAAGTATTTCACTACAAAAGCCAAAGAAGTTGCCATCAAGTTGGTTCTTATCCATGGCAACCCCACGTATTACAAAGAAGAACTGCTCCGTAGGGCTTTTTTGGCTGTAATCTTTATGGAAGCAGATTGTCAGGTCTTTCTTCTTTGGTGTCAGTTTGAATCTTTATGTTAGTTGTTCAGCACAAACTCAAAGCCTTTTTCCAAGGGATCTATTGCTTTGAAATAGAAAGAGTGGTGGATTGGGCCCTTAGAGCATAGTGGGTGATTAGCCAAAGACATGAGACATCGGCTTAGCAACCCTTTGACTCCAGAGGGGAGTCAAACAGGGAGGAGGAGGATTATTTTCCATATTCTTACCAGCATTTTGCAGGAGCTCCCTCACTCTTACCAATCCAACGTTGACCACTTCTTTCAAGACTTCCAGGGGCACTGGGAAGGCTGAGTTGTTCATCATCAGAACACTGATCTCGTAGCTGCCATTGTCACAGTTCTGAATCACCTGAGAGGCCCAGAACATCAGCCCAGGCTGGACAAGCAGCAACCACAAAGCCAAGCCCAACTGTGGTGTCTTCATGACCTTCCTCACCTCTGAACCATCCTCCTTGGCTCACTCACTTTGCTATGGGTTTCCAGGCAGGCAGTCACTCCAGCTGGAAAGCCTCTTGCCAGGTCCCTTGGTCTACTCTTCCCCAAGCTTTTTTCTGGTCATGCCCCACTGCTCACGTGGCCCAAGAAATGCAGCCTACCTGCCAGTAATTAGCAACCACATTATGGTAGGAGATAAACCAAAGTTCACTTTATGTGTTTGCTCATGGAAAGGTCAGAACTATAAAACAGGGAGATTACCTGGGCCTCACCCAATAACAATACATCAATTTGTAACACATCCCTGAGAAGAGGCAAAAGAGGAACAAGGCCATATATTATATACATAAAAAGCTTTGTAAAATGGAAAATAAATGTTGAAGAACAAAGGAAAGAATGAATTTGATGGACTATTAGTGCTGAAGTTTTAGTTGCACATCAAAAAGGAAACCTTTACTAGGAAGAGTCTGTTTCAGTCCATCCAATCAACAAGTAATTGAGACTTGACTGTGTGTTGGGCACTGATAAGACATAAGTTTGCCCACACGGAACATAGATTCTCATGGGAGAGGCAACATTAAGCACATTATTATGAGTAAATAACACAACAATGAAATAAAATGCAACAACAACAACAAAAAAAAAAACCTGTTGCCATTGAGTTGATTCTGACTCACAGTGACTATATGACAGAGTATAACTGCCTCATAAGGTTTCCAAAGCTGTAGTTTTTATGGAAGCAAACTGCTACATCTCTTTTTCATGGAGCAGCTGGTGGGTTTAAACTGCTGACCTTTCAGTTAGCAGTTGAGCGCTTAACCAACTGCACCACCAGGGCTTTTCTAAAATGAAGGGCAGAGTACTATGAAGCTCGTGGATGATTGTTGTTGTTGTTAGGTGCTGTCAAGTTGATTTCAACTCATAGTGACCCCATATGACAGCGTAGAACTGCCTAAAAGGGTTTCTTTATGGGAACAGATCGCAAGGTCTTTCTCCCACAGAGCCTCTGGGTGGGTTCAAAATGCCAACCTCTCAGTTAAAGCCAAGTGCTAAGCTATTGTGCCAAGTCACTGCACACCAGGGCTCCTCATGAATGATGACAGGCTATTCCAGGAAGCTCTGGTGACGCAGTGCCTAAGGCTTTTGACTGCTAATCAGAAGGCTGGCAGTTCAAACCCGCCAGCCACTTTGGGGAATGAAGCCTGGGCAATCTACTTCTGTAAAGGTTTACCACCTCAGAAGCCCAATGGGAGTCACTATGAGTTGGAGTTGACCTGATGGCAGTAGGTTTGGTTTGGTTATTCTCAAGTCAGGGAAGCTTCCCTGAGAAAATGTCCTTTAAGCCACATGCTGAAGGATGAACAGAAGTTAACTGGATGGTAAGACAGGGAGGGCATGGAGGGAAGCGATGACAGCTTGTGCAAAGGCCCAAAGGTGGGGAGAAACATGGCATGCTTGAGGAGCTGAAAGAGATTCAGCATGGTTTCAATAGAGAAAAGTAGGTGTCCAGTTGCAATAGGGATTGCCAGAGGAGTGGGCAGGGGCAGGCCATGGAGTTTCCTGTCAGCTGTTAAGGATTTAGGACTTTATTCTAACAGTCAAGAAGGGGACATAATCAAACAGATTTTGTAAAGACCCCTCAGCCTTCCGTGGAAGGGATGGCCTGGAGAAAGACAGGAATGGGAGCAGGGAGATTGTCAGGAAGTGTTTCCATGATCTGAAGGAGAGTTAATGGAAGCCTGTTGTTGTGTGTTTGTTTGTTTTAAATTTGGTCTGGAAATTACAAGTGAAAAAAAAAAATCCATATAAATAGAGGATGTGATAGATAAATTGCCAGATCCTTTTGATTTAGATATGAAGCAGAAGGTAGATATAGTTCTGGGAATCCTGTGATTATACCATATAAGCAAGAAGAAGAATTTCAAACATGAAGGACCAAGATAACAGTCCTTCTTGGATCCTTTAAAACACAAGTTACATGTCTTCTTTATGTTGTAAAACTATAAACATGTAGATTATAATTAAAGAGAATCAGGTTCTGCTGGGAGAGTTTCAAGGGTCAAAAGCAAATCATGGAACACTTGAGTAGACAACTTTGAGAGATACAGTCTTCAATGCAACACAAGCTCCTCCAAAGATATGAGAAAAGAAGGGAAACTACTCGACAGGGAAGGAGCAGCTGAAAAATCACCTGCATTCACCTTCTGTTAGTCTTTGGCAGGAGTCCCTGGGTGGTGCAAATGGTTAACACACTTGGCTGCTAACCTGAGGATGACAGTTCAAGTCCACCCAGAGGTGCCTTGGGAGAAAGACTTGGCAATCTGCTTCCAAAAAATCAGGCACTGGAAAATCCATGAGCAGAGTTCTGCTGTGACACATATGATGTTATGTTACGCGTTTCAGCTGACTGGAGAGCAACTTTTTTAGTTCTTTTTGGCAACAGTCTAGGTCTCTATTGTATGCCTTCCAATCATCCCCACCTCACCCCTGGGCCTACATCTCTTCACTCCACAGCTGTCCTGGGCTTCTCTGTCCCCTTATCTCAGTGGAGATGCAAATGAGTTTTTCAAAAAGAATTTTACCAAGGAACCAAAGAACTAAAACGTGAAAATTTTATACTAAGCACAAAGTAGAGATCCTGATCTGAACTAATGGATGGAAAATGGTTACTGTTAACTTTTTTAACTGATGACTTAATAGACTCACCAGATTAACTGAAATACACACTGCATGCCGCTGTAAGTGGACATGCACACTTATGCTACTTCTAGTTAAGTTGTGCACTGACCAGGAGTGAGTTGTTTTTGTGCCCAAATTTTCTAATTGTATTTTTTTTAAATTATGTCATTAATTAAATGTTATGTGATCTGATAAAATTTATATGCAAGCTGATAAAATATATATGAAATCTTAAACAAAAGTATATTACTAAGAAAATTGCTATGGCAAGACTGCTTTAAAATGCTGGGGAATAACATAAAAATCTATAAAGATTTTGCCCTTAGAGTGCTTCTCAATTGTCTTAAAGCAACAAACTAAATATAGTAGAAGATGCATTAAGGGTGTGGTAAGAACCAATTAGAGCTCCAACAGGGAGCTCATGCTCAAAGAAAATTCCTTGGCCTGACATCAACTGATTGATAAATAAATGAACATGTTTTGAGATAAAATAAACTGTTTAAGGCATAAATGTATAATTTGTAATGACTCGTGTTTTAAATGATTTTTTTTTCTTGGTTCTGGGAATCCTCTGATTATACTATAAGCAGGAAGAATATTTACTGATACTCTTCACACAGGATATGACACAAGATGGATTGTTGTTGTCTGTTTTAAATTTTACCTAGTAACTAAAAGATTTGCTAAGTACTCACATGGATTTGGATATGCAAACATTCTGAGTTAGGCATAATCCACTGCCATTGAGTAGATTCTGACTCCTAGCAACCCTATAAAGAAATATAAATTGCTTTATATGATAAAATGAGAAAGTTTTTTAAGTTTCCAGGAGCAATCCTGGAGGGAGGGAATGAGGAGTCAAGATGAGAAGAGATGGAGGAGCCAACAAGCTGGCAAGAGCCCAGGAGCCTGCAAAGCTAGAAAGATATGGCCAATGTAAATGGCCTAGTGGGAGAGTGGCTGAACTGGGTGAAGATATTTAAGCACAAGATGTTGAAAATAAAGATAAGATTGCTTGTATTTTCATAAAAGCCTTGTTCCTCATCCTACATTGGTGAGTAGTGACTGGGGTCTTAAAAGCTTTCAAGTGGCCATTTAAGATGCACCTAATGGTCTCCTATCATCAGAAGTGAAGAGTGCAAAACAAAACAAAAAAAAAGGCATTTGGAAGCAATAAGCCCTAGGACTCAATGGCCCTTGAGACCAGAAGAACTAGATGGTGCCTGGCTACAATTGCCAATCACTCAGGAAAGGATCAAATCTGGAGATCCTGAATAGAGTGGGAGGAAAAACATGGAACAAAATCCAAAAACCCAATAATGACCAGAATTACTGGTCAGATGGAGTCTGGTGAGACCCCCAGTACTATGGTCCTGGGATACAGTCTGGGCCTGGAATAAAGTTCACTCCCAGGGGCTGACTTTCAGCTCAGTAGTAAACAAGATGTGCATACAGACCACTCAGCCCAGGTGATGCACCCACATACTCTATGGAAATTCATCCCTTGGAGCAATCGACCACAGGGCACCAGAGGGGCAACAATTGCACAGAGGAAATGCAGGACACACAGGAGTGCGTAACTATGAGGGGCATGGGGAGAAGGTTATTGGGCAGGGGGAGGGGGAGACTGGGTTAGGGTTGGGGATGGTAAATGGGGAGTGAGACTAAATGTACACATAATGTTAAATATAAAACAAACTCTTAAAAATTTTTAAAAAAAGATTGCTTGTATTTTCCTTGAAGTAATGAGCCCTGGTAGCACAACGGTTAAGTGCTCAGTTGCTAGCTGAAAGATTTACAATTCAATCCACCAGCAGCTCCATGGGAGAAAAAACCTGGAGGTCTGCTCCCAGAAAGATAGATACAGCCTAGGAACCCTATGGGGAAGTTCTACTCTGTTCTACTCTGCTATGAGCTAGAATCAACTTGACAGCACACAACAAGATGACTTACTGCCATCCAATATATTTATTGAGAGTACTCTATATGCCAAGTATTACTCTCAGCATTAGAATTATAGCACAAATGAACAAATTTCTGCTTTCATAAAAACTGTATTCTAGTGGGAATTTAAAACTGGTAAACTCTTGCCAAACCTTCAGTCAGGTCTACACCACCTATAACCTGTCTAATCTGTGGAAACTGTGGGAAGGTACTGGGATCTGTGTCTAGATTGATGGAACAAGAACAGGAATAGGATGATTTGTAGAATGAGGAGTTTAAAATTAGAGTGACAGGGTAACATAATAACCTTAGGGAAATGATGAAATATTGGGGTGGGTTTTTGGACTTTCTGCAAGTATGAGATGA